CAAGCAAACGAGCTGCATACCTGTCTTCGCACAAGATGTCACTGAATCCTCTTTCGGGTTGACCGAGAACACTTTCGAACAGGCGGGGTACCCGTGGCAACCGAGACAAAAAAGGTCTCAGTCTCCAAATCGGCCGAGATCAAAGCGGAGATAAGCTTTCGGCCAACTTTGAACCCTGAGACCTTTTTTTCTGGGCTCAAATTTCGATTACCGGTGCGTTAGCAGCACTTTCGGGTTGCCCGAGAACACTTTCAAGCAGACGGGGTACCCGTGGCACCCCAGACAAATAAGGTCTCAGCCTCCGAAGTCGGCTGAGATCACGGCGGAGATAAGCTTTCGGCCGAATTTGAGCCCTGAGACCATTTTTCCTGAGCTCAAATCTCGACTCCTAGTGTATTGGCAGCACTGTCGGGTTGCCCGAGAACACTTTCGAACAGACGGGGTACCCGTGGCACCTGAGACAAAAAAGGTCTCAGCCTCCAAAGTCGGCCGATATCACGGCGGAGATAAGCTTCCGGCCAACTTTGAGCCCTGAGCCCTTTTTTTCTCGGCTCAAATTCCGACTACCGGTGTGTTGGCAGCACTTTCGGGTTGTCCGAGAACCATTTCGACTAGACGGGGTACCCGTGGCACCCGGAACAAAAAAGCTCTCAGCCTCCATAGTCGGCCGAGATCACACCGGAGCTAAGCTTTCGGCCAACTTTGAGCCCTGACACCTTTTTTCCTGGGCTTAAATCTCAACTTCCGGTGTGTTGGCAGCACTGTCGGGTTGCCTGAGAACACTGTAGGACCTCGGGAGTACCCGTGGTATCCGAGACAAAAAAGGTCTCAGCCTCGAAAGTCGCCTTGGATGCTGTTTGTTGCGTTGTGTCTTTTGATGCCAAGTCGTGTCTGGGGGACATGAGGTTGTGAGGGATACACCTAGGAACAGTGCCCGACTGCGTGTTTTTTACTTTGGTTACATTTGTGCTGTTTAAAAAATCTATATATATATATATTTTTTTTTTGTGTGTCGGAAGTCGATTGCGTGTAAGGTTGGATGGGTTGGTTGGCCAACTGGTTGGCCAACTGGTTGGCCAACTTCGCCTACGTGCAGGCCCGGCCATCGCCGCACGGAGTTGTCGGCGGAGCGAAGCGGAGCTGGCAATTCCGTGCGGCGGAAGGGCGGGCCTGCTTCTTGACATTGAAAGCAAATCGCAAACAACGCCCCCTCCTCCGCCTCCAAGAAGAGCGCGGCTGGTACAGACGTGTCGGAGGCGTCGACCGACCTTGAGAAGTGGCCAAGAAAATGAAGAACCGCAACCTCCAGCGCGTGCAGCTGTTTGGCCCAAAGGAAAGGTAAGTCCGTAACCTCTGGGTGTACAGAAGGGAAAGTACCGCAGCGTAGAGTGCAGGATCGCACGCGCACGCAGTGCTCGTCGGCCGGGGG